GCCATTTGTAAATAAAATATCCCTGACACCTTTTCGTATATACACTCTCGCCATCGGCTACATTGTACCGGAAATGAGACGATTACAACAGTACATAGAGAAATAAACGAAGCATTTCCTGGAAAACCGGATGACTTTTATGACGTCACTAAACTCCCTTTATATATATCACTTATTCGATTACACCACCATTCTAGTTTGCCCCTGAAGAAGATTGTTTGTTTGTTTTGAATTTCGCGCAAAGCTACACGAGGGCTATCTGCGCTAGCTGTCCCTAATTTAGTAGTGTAAGACCAGAGGGAAGGCAGCTAGTCATCACCACCCCTTCTCTATTTGCTTTAGTTTGGAATCCTGTTTCAATGCGATGAGAATAACATCGTTACTGGATTGACCGGGTTGGTTAAAGTGTTGAAACGTCCTGTAAGAGTTGTTTTTGTTTGTCCTACATATTGGTGATTGTATTTTTTACACTGTATAAGGTAAATGTTGGATTTTATTTCACAAGTGATTTATTTGGATATCTTAAAGTTTATTTGATTGTGCTTGTCAGAAAATGAGCCAGTGGTTTTTATGAACTTGCAGGGTTGGCTTTATTAAATGGACGACAACCATTTTTGGGTGGGATGTAATTTTTCGTGTGAACAAGGATATCTTTTAGAGTTCTGCTTTTTCGGAAGGAGACAATGGGGATTTGAGGAAATATCTGTTTAAGACGATCATTAAATTGTAGGAGATGAAAATGTTTTTTTTCAGAATTCATGAAACGTTTCTGAGTTTAAACTTATAGGTGATAATAAGAGGAATTCTATTTGAAAGTTTAGTATTGCTCTGATTTAGGATGTTTTCCCGCTGAGTGTTGTTAGCCTTTTCAATTTGTCTGTCAATTTCGGTATCTATATATCCTATTTGTAACACGTTTTGCTATTTGTCACTCGATATTGTTATTGATATTGAAAGGTATTGTTGGAATACCGCATTTGCTATATTATTATTATTTTCTTTTTTGGAATTAGGTTTTTTTCTTTCTGGTTCTTTTTCTTGATTCCATTATTATTAATATTTATGATAAATTGTTTATTACTATTGGTGTGAAGTTCCGGCCAGGCACTTGTTTATTAACTGTGTTTTGATAAGTGTTAAATTTATTTCTAAGTGTTGTTATTGTGAATAAATTGGTTTTTGTTGTTGAACCCTGATTGTAGCAGCGGTGTTCATTTTAGACCGTTACAGGCTCAGCATTATCTCATTTACCATGGTGCACAGCATTGCGCTTAACAACAAGACAAACTAACGACGACCTGACAAAATGAGTATAGTGACAAGTTCCTCATCAATAGTAATCCACTCTCCAAGGGTTTATGTGTCCCTTAGGAAATTGTCCCACATCTTTAAGTAATCTATTGTGAGTTCCAGTTTGTCGGGCGACTTGTGTCATTCAGCAATAGCATTGTCAAACCAAACGGTTGTTTGAAAACATTACCAGCTCGAAATTTTGTTGAAAGGTGATCAACCATTTTTTTTCACTCCAGAACTCAGCGATCTCCTCATTTTGACTTTTACACAACAGTTAGTATCAGTGTTCTAATGAATTTTGTCAGTTCCCTGATTTCACTCTATCGTACCTGGTAGACATTACCTCCTTTTTTGTTAGTCCTGTTGCATATGTTTTCTAGCAAGGATGACCAGAAAAACAACAGAAATGATGATGCAATAGAATCATATTTTCTTTTGGCAGAGGGTGTAAGCCATGGATTCTGCCACAACATGTTGACTTGGCTTGTCCAACCTTGTGGACCTGCTTTAGAATGACCAACCATCCTCTATTTTCATGGATATTTATATTACAATACTAACAACAGTGTTCTAATCAGTCTACATCAACATTTTCAGCATTGCGACCATCATCAACATCTTCAGCCAATTTATTGTTTTCAGAAAACACTTCATCTGACTCATTATCATCATCAGATGGATTATAGACAACATCCTCCGTATCTCTCTCACTATCAGTATTTTCCTTCAGAATTATTCTATTTTCTCAGAAGGGAAAGATCTTTCAAATCTATTTTTCCAGCATGAATTGAAACCTACAATGAGAAAAGCCAGATCACAAATTCTATTGGCCCGTCATGGCCAGGTGGTTAGGGGCGCTAGACTCGTAAACTGAGGGTCGCGGGTTCGAATCCCCGTTCCATCAAACATGCTCGCCCTTTCAGCCGTGGGGGCGTTATAATGTGACGGTCAATCCCACTATTCGTTGGTAAAAGAGTAACCTAAGAGTTGGCGGTGGGTGGTGATGACTAGCTGCCTTCCCTCTAGTCTTACACTGCTAAATTAGGGACGGCTAGCGCTGATAGCCCTCGTGTAGCTTTGCGCGAAATTCAAAAACAAACAAACAAACACAAATTCTATTTGCACATTTACACCTTTTACGTCCATACAAGACAAGAAAACATTATGGTCTTACCTTATGTCTGACACTTGTACAGTATCTTTGTGTTTGTTGCTGATGCCCATTTATCTCACACACCATCATCATTTAAGTCAGAAGCAACACTGTGGAACCAGTTGATTTTATATTGCCAAGTTGCATCAAAACCTTACTATAATATACCTTAGTATGATATGCCTTAGCATGATAAACCTTAATATAATATACCTTAGTATGATATGCCTTAGCATGATAAACCTTAATATAATATATCTTAGTATAATATACCTTAGTATGATATATCTTAGTATAAAATACCTTAGTATGATAAGCCTTAGTATAATATACCTTAGTATGATATATCTTAGTATAATATACCTTAGTATGATATATCTTAGTATAATATACCTTAGTATGATATATCTTAGTATAATATACCTTAGTATGATATGCTAGATAGTTGCTAAGTTGTTCTGAGGCATATAAAGTTTTATAGCTGTTAAGAGATTCTGTGGTCAATTAGTCATTCTGAATACCTGCACAGAGTTCGGTAAGTAGGCACTAAGGCAGAAGTAACAGTTATACCGAATACAGACAGTTAAAGTTCGGGAAGTAGGCACTAAGGCAGAAGTAACAGTTCTATCGAATACAGACAGTTAAAGTTCGGGAAGTAGGCGCTAAGGCAGAAGTAACAGTTCTATCGAATACAGACAGTTAAAGTTCGGGAAGTAGGCACTAAGGCAGTAGTAACACAACACATGAACCGTTTGTTCAATTCCTTATTCATTTAAGTCGCGTTTGGAGGTCCACTTGAGTTCTGCCAGTTCCTCACATGACCTTGTGACATGAAGCTATCAGACAGAGAAATGAATAACTGTTTTATTTTATAAGTTAACAAAAACACTTAAATGGTAAGCAGACCAATCACGAAATTCACGGCAGCCATAAGCACATTCACCAAGAACAACAGCCATAAGCACTTTCACCAATCACAGCAGCCATAAGCACATTCACCAAGAACCTTCCCATGCAAGTGAAGGATCTAACTTCTGGCTACGATATAATCTGGAGATACCCACTTCAGGGTACTTACTCTTCCTGACCACAATCAATTCCAATTTCAATATAGTTCAAAAGTTTCGGTACTTTTGGTGGTTTGTACCCATTAATATTGGACACAGGGTGTTTAGACGAGAATTTAAGCACAATTAAACTGCTTTATTCTGGGCTATGTAACAACAAAAAAATGGCCTCGAGAATCTAAATCCACAGCGTGGTC